GAAAGACATTTGGGGAAGCTGGGTTAATCGGAACATGAGAGTACACAAGTATAGACAGAGAGAAGGAAGAAGTAAGATGTCCCCCGACAAACTAAGCCTATATCAGCAAAACTAGGGGCTGAATCTAATCAGCCCTAACTATAAGCTTTATCAAAAAGGAAGGTCTTAAGCGCACTCTTAAAAACGGATAGGGTGTCTGCCGCCCGAACACAAACTGGAAGCTGATTCCACAAATGTGGAGCTTGATAAGAAAAGGCTCTGGCTCCCATTGTACTTTTAGAGACTCTAGGAACAACCAACAACCCTGCATTCTTGGAACGCAATGCCCTAGTAGGACAGTAGGGTATAATGAGTTCTTTAAGGTAAGATGGCGCCTGCCCATTAAGGGCTTTGTAGGCGAGAAGAAGAATTTTAAATTCTATCCTGTGTTCTATAGGGAGCCAGTGTAAGGCAGCCAGAACAGGAGTAATGTGGTCCCTTTTCCTAACTCTGGTTATTACACGAGCTGCAGCATTTTGAATCAGCTGAAGCGACTTGACTGACTTCTTGGTACACCCTGATAATAAAGAGTTACAATAATCCAGCCTTGAAGTAACAAATGCATGGACTAGTTTCTCTAGGATCTAGTGATATCCAAGCAACAGAGCTTCATTTAGCATGATACTTGTGTGGGTTGTACATGAAACCACTTGGTAATATATACAAATGTATATGTTGAAGCCTGTTATGATCAATTGTGAGTTAAAACTTTATCTAAAAAGTAAAGCTGATGATGGATTACTGTGGTGGAGTTAAAATAACAATATCCTATTTCTTTTTTAAATGTGATGGAGTAAAAGGATAGTAACTGTGATTATTCATGTTTAAGTAGCCCACAAGTAACTAAAACGTATAATACTTGAAGGAAAGGTGTAAATGTTCCCAAAAATACCAATATCACAGTACAATACCCCTTGTTGTTAAATACCAACCATGTGTATATATATATATATATATATATATATATATATATATATATATATATATAAATATGCCGCTAAAACTGTAATATACCAGGCTGCTAAATCCTCCAAACTATTGTTGCTGGATGTGTATTTTGTGAAATGTGTATTTTTTTTTAATTATAATTTCTTGTTTTGAATCTTTAATACTTTTATGCATACTTTAAGTAACATTAGGCTGTCTTTGGCTCTTTTCTGCTGTAACAATGTAAATGTATTCTGATCTAATTGATGTTTTTGTCAGTTTGTTTCCCTATATTGCGACACTTATTTGGTTTAAGATTATTTCTCCTTTTTTTACAGACATCCCGAACCATAGTGGAATGTTGTTGTAAAGGATTGCATTGATCCGTGCATCAATACCTTCACCCAGCTTTGAGGCCTCCAATGAATGAACATCATCTTGTGGCTGGGAAAAATGTGAACAAATAAATCTCACAAAGAGTGACTTTCTGGTGTAATCATTATAATATCAAACACAAGCACTTTCAGTAACAATATATAAAATCATTCAGCAGCAGAGGATGGGGTGGAAACAGCATTTCTAACTAAGATGATTACAATATTACAAGTTAAACATCAAGATGAACATACTATTATTAATTTAAAAAGTACATGGGAGACTTAAATATCCTGCAATATACCATTAGCAGAATTGGAACAAATGTGCCAAAACATTTCTAAAAATAAACATAAACATAAACTGAGGGCTTTCTTCCTGAGCCGCTGGGAGTAAAGGTCCTCCATGGATGGCAGCTCCGCCCTGGTGATGTTCTGTGCAGTTTTCACCACCCTTTGGAAAGCCTTACGATTGAGGGCGGTGCAGCTGCCGTAACAGGCCGTGATGCAGCCGTGTCCGTGATGGACACTGAGGAACCTGAAGCTGCTGACTCTCTCTACCGTAGTCCCATTGATGGCGATGGGGGGGCGGAAGTTAAATTCATTCCTCACTTATTCTGACAATGTGCTTAACCCCAAATAAAAGAACCCAATAAAAAGAGTTGTTAAATAATAGTGAAGTCACGTTGTAATAAAAATAACTCATCTCTCTCGAGTTTTCTTTTTGAGCTTTGCTAAAAGCCACTGTGTCAAGTGTCCAACTTGGGTTGCCGTCCGGACTTGTCCAATATGGCGGACCATCTCGCACATGCGCAAGTACCGATCGGGCAGGGGGACGGATCGGGGTAGTGACAATGACGACTTATATATTTACTTTGATTCATTCACAGTGCGGTATAATGAGACAATAACAGGCTACAGATGCGGACACACACACACAAATATATTTATATAAATATATACAATTTAAAGTATGAGAGCACTCTCATAATAATGTAACACAATCAGAGACTGGATACCAGTGAACATGTTTTTAAATATAACTACGGTTGTAGTTGAAGAGTTTGTAAATTAACATGAACCGAAGCTGTTGCCTGGCAACGCAATCGCACAACGTCACGTCCGTTAATTCCACATCCACACGCATGGATTAACATCGATTTAATACATTAATGTAGCCTTTGTTTCTGCTAAAAGAGGTATCGACCAGCTGGGGCAACAAGAACATCTGCGTAATCGAGTGTGACTATTACAAAATAAATCATTATTATATTAATTTTGACAATAACAACCGACCGTCGGGGTAGCATTTGCTTGGCATATCCGGGTATTTCTCTATGGTATTTCTCCACTGGTTAACATGGTTTAACAATACCGTGTAACTGTCACGTTTGAATGTTCACGTCTTGCCGTGATACCGGGTTGCAACCGGTGATAAGAATCAAAGGTTCCCATAGGATTCCATAGAAATGCATGCGGGGGGTAGTAATACAAAAACTACAATTTCTTTAAATGTACATTTAAAATTTGAATGGCATGATATCCAAAACATGTTTTTTGAGGAATAGCTGGAATATGAAATGATAAAAAAATGTAATTTCAAAGATACTTCAAGAAAACCACCTCACCGGGTCCAAAAGACCCACTTAAGCTTGGGGTAAATAATACAAAAACTACAATTTCTTAAAATTTAAATAAAAAATTTGAATGGCATGATATCCAAAACATGTTCTTTGAGGAATTGCTGGAATATGAAATGATAAAATGTTTTAATTACAAAGATACTTTGAAACCACCTCACCGGGTCCAAAAAGACTTATGCAGGGTGAATCTCATACAGGATTTGCGTATATATGCTTGTAAGAAATTAACCAACTGGCAGAATTTAGATATTATGTCCTCCTATCTTTCTGTCTGGTTTGAGTATACAATTGTGCAGTTTCATCTATATCAACTTTTGAGAGACAATAAAGCTGTATGGCCCTTCAGTACACAGATAGAAGAATGAGAAGATAAGCACTATATTGCATTAGTAAAAGTAAAACCTTGTCTGGAATTATTGCTGATTACAATAGACGACATGGTAATGAATGATATCTTTGTCTTTTGTCCTCAGAGTGACAATACAGGTTTTCATTCAGATTCATTGCACAGTTCTCTGTATATTTACAAATCGTATAGCACAGTGCAAGAACACACATATTAGAGCCGTCATGTAATGTGCATTTGCTTTTGTGTAGTCATTAGGTGAGTGCCACTGTTTCAACATGAGTGTGTATTTGTACCTGGGGGCATGATCTAATCTTATCTTCCGTGCAGAGTCCACAGGTGTAAGCCCAGGTCAGGGCCTTCATTCAGAGGAGCTCACCACTAAGATTCTCTCTCTGTGTGGAGCCGTAAACAATGTCTGCACACATGCCATTCTTCTGTGTAAAATAATGGGAACATGCAATGAGTATGGTGTCACAAAAGAACAGTTGCTATCTTAGCGTTTCTCAGACAATGGGAGTCGATGCCATACATATATAACCGCACAAAGATGCACACGTTTTCACAAGTGCAGTACATGCTCATCTCAGATAAATATATACATCGTTTGAAAAAAATATGATCACACTACATTGTAAGCTGACTAACAAAGTGTCAAATAGTTACAGTAGATATTTACAATTTTTGATATTTTCTAATGGATACTGTTAGTAGTTGGTGGTGATAGGAAAACACTGCACATCAACAAATCAAGCCAACATGACTTGCTGCTGCTCATGTGGGGGTTAATGACGGATGCAAACACAATGGGCCTTTTCCACATTTCTATCACTCAACAGATCAGAGGGAACTGCTGATGGCAGCAGGCCTCATAGAGATCCTTTGAACAAACCACAATGTACACACTCTGGTTGGTGTACAAAAAGCTAATAAATGATCAAGCTGATGTACTTCATATCTGCCAGTTAATGTTCCTACAAACATAATGAAAAAGTGATATCATTAATATAGAAATTATTTGTTTTTAAATGATTCTCATTTCCCACAACATCTTTTTTTTTTAATAAGATTTAAACATAATCATAATCATGTAGCCTTTAGGTGGTACTGAGAGGGCATCTGGATGGTTGATATGCCTATTTTACTTGTAGGCTAAACATTGTATAACTTTTCATAGTTAACATTTTCACAAGTCCATTTATTTGTTGAAATATTTATTTTTCCCTTTCCTTTCATTTATATTTATTTTCCCCTGCAACATATTTTTCAATCCCAAACATTTAGCATCTTTCAATGTAACAAAACTGAAACAAAATGCTTGAATGCATTTTTGTTTTACTTAAGGATGGTTAATCAATTGTTAAAAATACAAAAAAGGTTTGGATGTTACCAAAGTACAACACAATTGAGTTCTGACCATGGTTCTGACTCATGTGGCCCTACTCCAGTCCTCTTCCGTACGAACCGAACAATTGTGATCACGTATCCACAGTCATCCTTTAAATTAAAACACAAACATTGCTGTCTACTTGAAAATAAATAAATACATATTTATTCTACATTTATTTCCCCTGTCTTTCAATGGTTGCAGACTCGCGAACGTGCGCTGTCAATTGCTTTGCACGTGAACGCGCCCCCTGTCGACCCTCCTCTTCCGCGTGCGTCCCGGGGAGCTCCCCACTTCCCTCCTTGGCTCGTGCTGCCTTTTAAGCAAACGGACACAGTAGGCCATCCCAGTCGGCCAAAGGACGGGACACGGTGAGGAGTTGCTGTGTTGCTCATTCTACCCCCATATCCTGTCGTCACCCCCCATGTCCTTGTAGTTTAGTTGCCTTTGTATTAGTTCGTTTACACAGTTCTCCAGCTTCAGTCATGTATCGGTGTTTCGGGGAGCTGCTGAGCCGCTCTGCGGGCAGTGCCCTGGCCTCGGGGTGCGTTGACTCCGCTCTCCCGGTGTCCTCGTCCCTGATGCGGGTCCGTCGTTACGCCGACGCGGCAGACAAGCCCGACGACCCCAACTTCTTCCGGATGGTCGAGGGATTCTTCGACCGCGGAGCCAGCATCGTCGAAGACAAGCTGGTGGAGGACCTGAGGACCAAGGAGACCCCCGAGCAGAAGAAGAAACGTGTTGCGGGTATCCTGCGCATCATCAAGCCATGCAACCACGTCCTGAGCGTGAATTTCCCCATCAAGAGGGATAACGGAGAGTGGGAGGTGATTGAGGGGTACCGCGCCCAGCACAGCCAGCAACAGGACTCCCTGCAAAGGGGGTAAGTATTGTGCCAACCTAACCCGACCTGTGTCAGCTAGCTTTAGCCAGCCACTTAGCAATCCTTAGCAGCACAAGTAGCTAGTTTGAAAGTATCACAAATCAAACTGTCAACAGCTTGCCTTGTTTTTTCAGCGGCTGCTGAGTCGTTCGTTTGGTTTCCTGTGCTTATGGCTGCGTACTCCTTGCGTGACACTTTTTGTGCAGATTACAGTGACCTTCCTGCTTACCCAGAAGTGTAGTGTTACAGTAGTTTCTTAGCTTTCAGGCTAGCAGCAAGCTAGCAGTCAAACTGAAGAAGCCCCGATACTTTGTAGGCAGTTGTGATCTTAAATCTAGCCCATCATTCTCACGATCAAGTGATTACATCTGGTTGAAACTGGATAGATTCACCAGTTTGTTTCTTCTCTTACTGATCTAGCCTACTCTTATTCCAATGCGTGTGTGTCAGATGTATGATGTGATGGAGGGGGCAGCTTTGAAGGCATCAGGTGTGTCATTGAGCTTGCCAGGCCTTGGCCATACATGTGCTGCAAAAACGTTGCAGGGCAAATGCACACAATTTGGTTCTTCTCACTCATTATGTAGTCTTATACTGACATTCACTGTTTAAACCTGCTTTATGTGCAATGTGACAACCTTGGGGAGAGTGACATAGGTTCAAGGTTCAAGGTTCAAAGCAGAGACATTATGGGCTGCTGCTGCTGCAGTGCACGCTGGGTTATTTGTGAATAGAGGGGGGATATGATGTGGGCTATAGGAAGACAGGAGCTGTGAGAGCTGGGGAGGGGGTGGGTGTGTTTCCAGGCACTCCTATTTGTCAGCTGTTTGACAGGTGGGGAGGGTGCTGTGCAGAGGAGGCTTTCTTAGTAGAAAGAGACATGCCATTCAGTCAAAGGGCATGTTTGAATTGTGCGGGGCAGACATTTGCGTGCTATTAACATGACACCCTTCTTTTGTACCTGCTTGACGTAGCCATTGCAGACCTAATTTGTAGAGATACTGTGCCGTATACACATTCATTTAATACAAATAGAATACAAATGTAGTTAGTGCATTTTTCAAAGCACTCAAACAAAATGTCTATTACAGATTTCTCCCCGAAACAACTTTAAAGTAATGGAGCAATTCAACCATTTATGAAATCACAAGGCAGTCCAGCTAGTTGTCAGTGAAGGACCACTCAGAGAAGCCATTTTGTAAAATCAATAACAATAAGTGTCTCTATCCACCTTTTTAAAGCCTGACCAGAGCACAGAATCACCGCAATCCAAACTCCATCTTGGTATTAACAGTCTTTATTATTCTTAGTAATATTCAATATATTTATCCCTCTCATGTTGCCCAATCCAGATTGAAGATACCCTTAAAAGTAGTCACAAATCACAGCAAGTGTGCACTTTGAGATTAAGATTAAGTAGGAACAATATCAGTCTGATTATTGGAGGGGCCTATTAACATTTGATTGGTCTCTATGTCAAACTCCTGTTATCGGGGTGGGAGTAAGGGCAGTTATTCTTCAGTGGGATAATCATTGATATAGTGCATAGACCCTTGGCCATGTTCAGATCAAAGTGCAAAGTGCAAAAGCTGTTTGTGCATGGGTTGCTCATCCCCCTTTGCAGAGCCACACAGCAGCTCTCTTCTAACTACTGAATACATTTTGAAACATCATGATGTGTCTATGCAACGTCATCCTCACAATCCTAGAATATAGTTTCTGGAAAGTTGTTATATTTGTAAATAGTTCAAGTCCGCACAGAATATTTGAAGCAGTAGTTTAATCCAAACAATCTGTTGCTCAAGCAAAAGCCCAACATGTTTTACGCAGGAGTCTAGCTATTTGACATGCTTCGGAAGCAAGAGCGCTGCCGTGTCTGGCCTTCTAGCCAGACTGTTGTAATGAAACCGCCCTGACTTCAGCGTGGGGCTCAGTTATTTTCCTAAATCTGTCCTCTATTCAAATGAATGTGTTTACAGTTATGTTTTTTGGGCTGGTTGCTGTGGTGAGCTGTTGCTGGGTGGATCAATGGCTGGTTGGTATGGTTAGTCAGCCAGGCTTTTTCCCCTTGTTTAAATGTTATCAGTAAGCCCGATTGTCTTGTGTGGGCCCTGGGGTAGCTCAGCTGATTAGGATGAATGGAAATAAAGAGGGGAAATGATGCAGCACTCCTTAAAGATCAAGCTTGTTTAGCAAGGTTTGATCTTCAATCTGAACACCACACACATTCCACTGGCACTCAAGTTGACATCATAAAAGGGTGCAGGCATTTTACTTATGTTTGCTTTTAGCCAAACGCATTGAAAACAAGACAACCCTTTGGAGAGTGCAGCCCTCCATTAAGGCCCTTTTCAAAAATGTAATGTTGGTGGAGGGGAATGACGCACACAGTGCCTTTGTCCCCTGGAAGGAAAATCTGCCGTCTCCTCCTTGTGCTGCTTGCCCTTGGGGTTTCTCCGTGGAAGCTAACTCTAGATGAAGGCTATATTTGGTACAGTCGGACAGTAAGATTACCGCAGTGTGGTACTTTGGCAGCCTGGCTGTATGGTTCTCATATAACGCTGCAGCACACAGGCTGACTCACACATGTTACTGTGGTGACCGTAGTAAACCCCATACAACAGGAAGGAATGACTGTAATGGGGGGTGGGGGTCAGAACGGAGGGCTGTGATTGGTTGTTGCCTTCCACCCCGCCCATCTCTGCTACCGTGACTGCAAAGGCATCCAATCTGTGGATCTGCAACCGATGTGGTCTTGTGTGGTATGGAGAATAAAATAAAGAAACATTAAACCTTATTAATGCCTTTAGTGAAATTCAGGTGTCATAGCAAACAGCAGTTATAAGATGCAGCTATTACTGTCCAATCCAGTTCAACAGCGGTCGATCGCTGCTATTCATTTTCCCTTTTCTGTTGTTGAGTTGCACATGCAGTGGAGATAGTTTCAGTGAGGGCAAATGATTTGCCCATGTTGCAGTCTGAACACTTAATCGGTGTACAAGGCACTTGAGCTCATCAACCAGCACTATAATAAAAGTACAGTACACATTCATTTGGTTAAAAAGATCTGTGTATTTTATCATTGAAAAATAGGATTAAATAAATGTTCGTCCTGTTTGGTCTGTTTCTTCAGGTATCCGTTACAGTATGGATGTGTCTGTGGATGAGGTCAAGCCCTGCCTCTCTGATGACCTACAAGTGCGCCGTGTTGGTAAGTATTAAGCCTTACATAAAACGTCCTGCTGGTTATCCTTAACCCTAACCTGATCTCCATATTCAAATGAATACCATTTGTCCAAATTACACTTTCTCCTACAAAATGAAGTTCCCATACAACTAAACTGCATTAGTGGCAGGAATAGCCGTCATCTATTTAGCTTTCTCTTCCTACTGATGCACATTAATACATTAGATTGAACATGGGTCATCTAAAGTGTACGTGTTGTGCGTAAGCATGTAAATGTTCCTGTTGTTTTTAATCTGCGTTACTCTCTTCCAGATGTGCCATTTGGGGGAGCCAAAGCTGGAGTCAAGATCAACACCAAGAATTACTCTGTAAGCCGTCTAATGTCATCCTCCTCCCCCACACCCGCATGCGCATATAGAGCCACGCGCATGTTTAACTGTATGCTGTTATATGCATAGCAACGCAGCAAAACATAAGCTGGCAGTCTTTGGAGTGGTATCAGATTTCTTGTCCGTTTCTTACACACAAACAAAGAAACAAACACAGATGATTATTCAATCCCACTGGAATGTAAAGCCTTATCGTCTCATTCTGTTGATTCATGAGAAGAATGATTACATGGAGAGATTTAAATGTGAAGAGTTAGGCAACACAAGAAGCTTGTTCACATGCAATTGTTGAGGAAGATACTCCAATGTGTCTTTAGATACACAGATCTATGTGTTACATTTTCTTCAATTTACTAATGGTGCCTGTCCTGCCTTTTTATTATGGACAGGGATGTTATTGCATGTATTCATGGATAATGTAAGGGTACAGACATTAAGCTATGTGGCTGTGGCTTTAAGTGGATTGGAAACCACTCAACCAAAATATTTTGTCAAAATGCCTATAGCATCTTTTCAAAAGCTGAAGGATAACTATTGCTTTTACTTTGAATCCACTTGGTGTTTTTTGTAGCCTATTTCTTGTTTCCTAACATCCTCAATTGTATCATTGCACTGCAATCAACATGTTTTATGGATACTGTGTCTTGTCTGTTCACACAGGATAATGAGCTTGGAGAAGATTTACCAGGAGATTCACTATCGAGCTGGCCAAGAAGGGGTTCATGGTGAGTGTTTATGTGTGAGCTGTTTTACTGTTATAGTTATTAATCTAGCCATTTTATAAGCTGCAATATGACTTTAACATGGCCGCATATTGGCATTTTTTTGCGTGACAGAGTTCTTGTCTTTATTTGACTGGGTTTAGAAATGACTGGTGGTGAGAGCTGAATGGTTCCCACCCAGAGAAAAAACATTTCCTGTCATCTAGCGCTGTTTACTCAGGTCGGGGTCGCTCAGGGTTGCTGTGTCAACTGACAAGGGGGACCATTAATACACGGAAAAAAACCTGGAATGAAGATTATGTTGAGGAATATTTGCCCTGCATGTCCTCCTTCGCCCTCTGACGCAGCTGACCAGCCTCGAGCAGCCGTTATCTCCCATAAGGAGGGGCTGCCCTAGCATTTTGTTGTTGTCAACCAGTTTATGGACCGGGCAACTCTCGGTCAGAGATAGTTATTTTATGGGACATCTGGTGTAGATGACCACGAGCCATAAGCGACAACAAATGTGATTCAGTGTCCCCTCAGCTATCTATTGCACAATGGTTGATTATCCTCTGAGAACTAGCTAAATACATGGCTCTGGCTCAGGGGTTAGAGTTCTTCAGAATGATTGTGGCATCTCAACCGTGTGGGTCAAACCGTGGCCCGTGACATGTCTTGGTGAATTCTCCGGCGAAGCTCCAAATAACCGTCAGTGTTTGCCATCAGAAGCTCCAGCTCTCCCTGAGACCTCGTGTCTCTCTGAGTCCTGACGCCCATTGCTTCAGAAGTTTCCCCCACAAATTATACTTGAGCCTGATATGTACAGGCATCATGCCACTTCGGCTGAGGAACGTATCTTACAGAAATGACAATTTTTAAAAATCTATATTTGCTGTATTAGTTGTAACTATGTTTAGAATGCCCACACATACAGTAAGCATACACAGGTTCAGCAGGTCACTATACAACCAGTTTATTAATCGCTGTGCTCTCCATGCATGTTAGTGCTAAAAATACAAGATGCTCCGCTCAACATACAAGCAATGAAATACACCATCAAAAGAAGTTGCTTAGAAATGTTTATAATGTGTTCTGTTCAAAGACAGATATGAAACTGTCTGTTAACCACAGCAGTAGTTGTGTCATTTGTGGTTTTATACAAGTGCCTTCCTTCGTGTATTTGTACACATCCTGAAGGCAAAGCAGCACCCACTGCACACATCACTGCCCTGTTCTGTCACTGTGAGTGTAACGGGGCACAGTCCCATCCCCCACCTCTCTGCATCCATGCTTTTAGACGTTCCAGAATACATATGCAGTGTGTGTGTGTGTACACTTGTGTGATGCTCATTCAAACTTGAGCAGAGGTACCCATTTATCAAAACTGAAACGTGCCCAGTGACTGCCGTGCTTGATTCATTCTCCTTCTTCCCTTTCGGCCTTCACCAGGACCTGGCATCGATGTCCCTGCCCCCGACATGAGCACAGGAGAGAGGGAAATGTCCTGGATCGCCGACACATACGCCAACACCATTGCACACACTGTGAGTTCTGTGAGGCAAACGCAACCAATCTGTATAACATGGCCGGTTTTCAGTAGGATTATTGAGACGGCCAAATGAAAGGAAGGCATGAGTCACGTATAAACCATGAGCAGTGGTTTCCTGCCTCTCCCTTCCCAGCCGACCGCTGAGACATTCCTCCTCTCTTTAAAGCAGCTCTACAAACTGAGGCCTCTGTGTGTTTGTGTTATCAGCCAATCATTCTCGTATCGAAACCAGTCAAACGGGGCCTATTTGACTAAAGATGGAAAATATTGACCTATGTGTGTTCATGTTAATCATCACTGTTGTAGGTTCAATCTGAATAGGCAACAATTATGAAAGCCAAATAATGGCTTGGACTTCAGCCATCTTGTAGTCTAGGAAATTGTAATGGTGAGCTAAGGAAAGCCATCTGCAGTGTTTGGACAAGTGATTTGTAGAACTCACAGGATTATTTGGTGATGCCATCTTCTCCAGTGTGAGGATGTCTTGCTGTAGGGTAATTTCATGCAGTACAACTAATGATCTTAATTGATTTATCTTCAAAAAGTAGCATATTTTCAGTTGAATTAATGTTAGTGCTGGTTTTGCAGCTTCTATTGCTTATATAGTTGCACTTTTAAGCCTCGTTGGAGACATTAAGGCTTTAAGAATAGTCAATGGTGTTTTTACTCTGCCATTTTACCGTATATGTGAGCTCTATGTAAGAGGAACCTACATGTATTCAACAACCTGCTGGTACATATTCTTCTTCAGTGTTTTTCACTATTATTTTCTGTGTGTTTGCAGGACATCAACGCCCACGCCTGCGTGACAGGAAAGCCCATCAGCCAGGGAGGAATCCACGGTCGTATCTCCGCCACTGGTCGTGGAGTTTTCCACGGCATTGAGAACTTCATGAACGAGGCGTCCTACATGAGCATGGTAGGCCTGACACCAGGCGTCCAGGATAAGACCTTCGTCATCCAGGTAAACACGCATGCATGGTTTGATCATAGTAGACACATCTTACTTGAGAGGAAAGATGAGACCCTCAATGTACTGCAGATATCTGCTTACAGGATGTTCTCAAGTGAAATCATGATGAGGGGTTTTAGAGCCTCAATCAGAGCCATGCCATCTGTTATAGCTTGGCCCTGATCTCCTCACCAAGCACACAGCAGGGAAGTATTTACGAAAAATGAGACACTGGGACCTATTATGAGACTTTAAACATTACAATCATGGAAAGATTTAAGCTGTTCATCTTTAAGCAGGAAAGAGTGTCTGTGTCGGCAAAAATGAAAAGCACTATTCTCCTTTTCAGCAGTTTCACTTATATTTACACATGGTCCTCACGTGTCATGGAAACACTCACACACAGTCACACACTCAAACTTATACACACTTATGCCAACACAGACACGGGTCGAAAACACCTACTCACTGACCTCTGCTTCTTTCCTACAAAGTTTTCTCTAATTACTGCTCTTTTACGACGAAAATGTAATCAGTTATTCTTAATTCACAAATTTTCATGTAGACAATTCAGACACATCCTCATAGGATTCAATATCCTTTACCTGCTCTACAGAGAATGTCAAGAGACTTGGAGAGAAACTAAGAAATGTATTGGAAGGGGATGACGTTTGTTGAGGGGGTAATCGTATGAGGGATGAGAAGGGCGTCATTGAGGAGGTGTTGACAGCAGCTGAACCATGACGTGGATGTTGAACAAAACTAATCCCTCTGTGTGAGTGTGTGTGTGTGTGGCTGAGGATTACATTGTGCTGGGATTAGATTTTCTTAGAGATTTGAGTGAGAGCGGGGAGATGGATCCCAAAACTGGGGATTATTTTATCTCCTATCACACTTCATTTAAAAAAGATCAGCTGTGAACTCTTAGGCCCCGGCCACACGAGGACGAAAACGCAATCGCAAAAAAGCTTCCGTCCACACGCAATATTCACCGGATAGTGTCTGTCCACACGAGACAGCTCCGTTTAGCTCCGTTTAGCTCCAACCGCTGGAGAAGCTGCAGTACATATGCAGGAGCCTGTACGTGGCGCTGTAACTTCCTCCACAAAAGCAGCGAAGAAGCATGGTTGTCATGGTTTCCCTTCTGTTTATTCTCCGCGGTGGGGGCCGAGGGAACCGGGCAGAGTTTTTCGCCAGTCAACGTGAATTAAAGTTTAAATCTTCTGACAAAATTATAAAAGTGCCGGTCGGTCAAAGGTCTTCTTTGTTATGTATTGAGCTTTAAAAGAAATAACGACTCTATATAATATAATAATAAAATACATGGAGCCTCTCTTTTTCCTCCCTCTCTTCGGATAGCGCCAGTGTCTGTTTCATGCAGCAGCTGATCCAGTAATGAGTGACCCGGCCGACAGTAAAAATAAACATATTTATAACTAGTTTAGGTAGTTTGAGAGGTGTCTCCGTCCTGTCAGATTAGACTTCACTCGCGTTTATGTCCATATCGAGAGAAAGATAAATAATCTGAATTCAGTGTGCAGTTTACTTTGACGCGGGGGTGCAGCAGAGGTGGGGAGAGGCGGGGCTATTGCCTCATCATTATCAGAAAATGATCATATAGGGTGTACACACGGAGCCGTTGGACCCCCCAGAGCGTTGCGTATGCCGTTCTATCCACGTTGGGACCCGTTATAATTTCCGCAGTCGTTTAGCGCCGTATTCGGTCGTCCTCGTGTGGCCGAACGGTCTATATGACAGTAACGCAAACGACCGTTTTCGTCCTCGTGTGGCCGGGGCCTTAGTGTCCTTCAGTTCTGTTAGATCTGTGCCGGCAGTGTGATATAGCAATACTGCATTCACTATTAGACTATAGGAATTGAGGAAACCACAGGCAGAGCTCGGCACTGCTGTACAGACTTTCCTTTTCTATGTGCTTTCTTTTAAACCTCTAGTTTTTTTCATTCTCAGTATGGATAGTTATATTAGTTTGTATTAAGCATATAGTGCGTTCCTACTTTATAGTATGCAGACACAATAACTTCAGAGTACGAGACATGAGTCTACTGGACATCCTCAACTGCCCCAAAGTGCAATGCAACCCTAGAGACAGCCTTATAGCAGACGGATAAAATAATTATATGCTGAAATAAAATAATTGTGAACGATGGCAAGTGAGATCAAGGTACAGTAGAGGAAAAACGTGGGAACGCACATAAACTGTATAATCTACTGTAGAAAACATATTAAATAGCACAAAAATATTACATTAAGTTTGAGCTGTATATTTACAGTTGCGATTCATTATGTTTGGTAACAGTACAGTAGCTCGGACTGCTAACACATCATTGATGTAGTCATGTGATGGATGCATGCAGTCATGTATCGCAGAGAGGACGTACTGCGTGAGTTTACCACAGTGTGAGCAGTCTGCTAGTAATGGCTGGGTAATGCTAACCTAGTATGCAGATCATACTGATTGAGTATTTATTCTGCAGTATGTTTAGACTTAGATTTTAAACACAGCCTCAGATCATTGTGGGTTAGGGTTTTAAACAGTGATTTGACTGGTAATTGTGTGTTTACAAGAGCTTGGCATTAGCAATGATGTATCATGATAAAATAAATGTCATGTATTTACAAACATATTGAACGTAAACAGGAAACGGAAAATGTTCTCCAGACTGCGCCTATTCTGTCCATCTGTGCTTATTTGTTTAAGTCTCAATTCCTCGCCCATATTTGCAGAAAATATTTTAATTAACAAATTGTACCTGTGTGAGGCCTTACTTCAGTTAGATGATGATGTCATAACTACAGTTGGCCACATGGTGGCACCAGAGTGCATGTCACCGCACCTTATCAGTTCATGGTTGGTTGAAAAGTGGTATAACAATTATAAATGTTACTATTGGTGGTATTTAATGAGTAAAAAGTGATCATAGCGATGTTGGACCATGATGTTATTAACCTGCTGTAACTTTTTCACAGGGCTTTGGTAATGTGGGTCTTCACTCCATGAGGTACCTGCACAGGTTTGGGGCCAAGTGTGTGGGCATCGGTGAGATTGATGGAGCCATCTACAACGCTGACGGCATCGACCCCAAAGCGCTGGAGGAATACAAACTGGTACCAGCACAACTGCCTTCCCCTCACTTCTGTCTGCTTTATCCTTCTTGTCACTTTCCCCCTCTGTTTTCTCTTACTAAAATAATCAAGTCATTGCCTTTATCTGACTTATTTAATTCTTACCTTACATCTCAGTCAGATGATTTTCTTCTCCTGGAAATACACTTTTTTTCCAACATTTTACCCAAACAGTGAAATATTCACAAATATTCATGTGTCTGTCTCTTTACTTTCTGCAGCAAAATGGCACCATTGTGGGCTTCCCAGGAGCCAAACCCTATGAAGGGAGCATTTTGGAAGCCGACTGCGACATCCTGATCCCTGCCGCCGGAGAAAAGCAGCTCACACGTAACAATGCCCGAAGGATCAAGGCCAAGGTAAACCCTCACTTTTGATTTACCCAAGGTGCTTTGCTCAAAGTTGGTGTTTGACTCCACACGAGTAAGGACAGGGAGGCTTTGTTGCAGTCATGAACAGTGTGTGTTGTATTTCATGTCTTTTCAGATAATTGCTGAAGGTGCCAATGGTCCCACCACCCCAGATGCTGACAAGATCTTCCTGGAGAACAACGTCATGGTTATTCCTGTAAGTGCACACACACACAATTAAAATAAAATGTGCTCAAACCACACAAATCCAGCGCTGATGGAGCAGATGAACTGAATTTGTGTTGTGCTGAACTCTTAATTAATTACACCTAGGATGTTTTTCCTTTTTAACTTTTTAAGATGGATTATTTCTTAATCATTGTTATTTCGTCATGACGGCTCGTCCACACGGCGGCGTGCGTTGAAGCTTCAACGCTTCTTCCCATTCACTTTCAATGGGGTGACGTCACGCTTTGCCGAACTGCATTGTGGTTCCGTTGCTCGCTTCAAAAGTTGAGAAAAGTTCAACTTTTGATGCTTCGACGGAAGCGTCAGCCAATCAAACCACGTGCTTGTGTGTCCGGGGCGGGAGATTCATGTGATTGGTTGTTGGTCGAGTTTCAGAAACGCCCACCGGCAAGCTTCAACGCACGCCGCCGTGTGGACGCTGCATGAATATTTTGTTATACAGCACAAAATACACAATGTCATATTTTTATAAATATAATATATAAACCATAAAGAGTAAGTAACAGATTTTTCTAATAATTTCACAAAAGCATTTCATTTTCAGTTTATTACAGAGTAATCATTTCCTTCCCATATCTATATTTAAAATCAGTGCAGGGTAAATGTTGTAATAATTCAACCCACAGGGAAGTGAGGACCAAACAGGCTAAAGACTTTGTTTCCTCCTGCAGGACATGTACCTGAATGCTGGCGGTGTGACAGTGTCTTACTTCGAGTGGCTGAAGAATCTCAACCATGTCAGCTATGGAAGACTGACCTTCAAATATGAGAGGGACTCCAACTACCACCTGCTCAGTGAGTACAAGACTGCTCCTCACCTCCTCCATGGCATGTAGCGGCATAACACTCAGAGGATACATTACCAATACACATGAATCTTAGAAAACTGTTTAATGACCCATCTAAGCAATATTTTTCTGTTTTCTTTTTTGAGTGGGTTGGGTTGAGTGGGCTCATTCATCTCATTCTGGGGCAACCTTGTTTATACTCTCTCTTGATCACAAGCAGCCAATCATACAGTGGCTTTTCCACTTTCACTTGTGTAACTTGATGAACCCTGGTATTTGTTATCGACTCAAACAAAAGATATGTCTTTTTTTTCGAATGTTTCTCTTTGTTCCCTTCTAGTGTCTGTGCAGGAAAGTTTGGAGAGGAAGTTTGGCAAGCAGGGGGGGCCCATCCCTGTCGTACCTACTGCTGACTTCCAGGCCAGAGTTGCTGTGAGTATCGTCTGCTAACACACACTTTAAAAAGATATCTATAACAAACGTGTTTTTTTTCTAATATGTTGAAAACAATGCAGCTTTATAATACTTCATTAAAAATTGTATTTAAAATATTGAGTCTTTAACAAATATTGTGCCTTCTGCGATATCAAGTATTGTGGCAAAGTGTCTTGAACTTTTAGATGGTGACTGACGGATAAATATTTGACCTTAACTGTATGACCAGTAGACTCCAATTGGCTTGAGTTATTCCTCTTATTGTCATGATACAACCAGGAATGCACCAATCTAATATTTGACTTGAGTGCTATCGGCCTATCGGCTGATAAAATGTAATTTACCGACATTGATCTGTAACCAATTGCTAGAGACGACTCTGCCATGACTTCAGAGAGCAACTGGTGCTGATCATGTGTATGGTTTACAAATAAAAATGAAAGTGCATTGGTGCAAACCCCTTCCCCATGTCTACAGTACAGATTGTTGTTTAGTTGCTGTGAAATGAATACACATGTTGCGTCAAGCCTTTCCCTGTACTGTCCATATCTCCTATTACCTATACAGGTTCTTAATGCCCATCACAAGTTACCAGAGCCAAGTTGGGACTGAATAAAATACAAAATGTGTATTGAATTGACATGTAAAAGCATCTAGCAATCATGTAACCGAGGCTATTTCTTAATGAAAATAAAATGTTCTCTTAATTGACCAAGTGATTGCATACAGTTTGTTTATTGATGTCCTCCTAGAGATTGACGCTAACATTCATCTTTCCCTTGCAGGGTGCCTCTGAGAAGGATATTGTTCACTCTGGGTTGGCCTACACCATGGAGAGATCTGCCCGGGTAAGTGATCGTACAGGAAGTACAACACGTTCCTGCCTTTTTATTAGGGATGCTCCGATCGATCGGTCACCGATCGAGATCGGCCGATACTCACTCTCTACCGATCGATCGGTGCTCTCTAAACATGCCGATCGCGAGAGCCGATCGCATGATGTAGAATACATGACACTTTTCTCTGTGCGCGGCAAAACAAGCTCGCCAAAATGGCTTCACCGGTCTGGCATTATTTTAAGGTGTCCGAAAAAGACAATAAAATAGCGGTATGCAACGTGTGTGAAGCAGAAATCCTGCAGCTCCACCCGCTGTGACGGACAGGTGAGAGGAGCGAAACACCAAGAGTTAGACCTAACACACTTAGCTATTTTATCTACCTCTGAAACAAGCTAAACTAGTTATAAATATATGTATTCTTCACTGTCGGGTCACTCATTACTGGATCAGTGAGCTGCATGAGATACTTACAGGCTGTCAGGAGAGAGGGAGAGAGGAAAAGAGAGCGCTTCCGCTCATTTCTCCCGTGTTATTAGCCAAAGTTAATGTAAACTTGAATAATGTACTTCATTTTAATGTAATTTATGTTGGTTGTTGTTTGTGGAAGCTCCAGTGAATGAGCCCCATTAACTGAGTTTTAAACATCACTTTAAATGGAAGATTTAAAGTGATGTTTAAATCTTCCATTTAGGCCCCGCCCACTCGATCGGATCGGCGATCGGTATCGGCCGATACTGATTCCGGCGATCAGCCCCAAAATTGCCGATCGGAGCATCCCTACTTTTATAGTGCAGAGCCTCTATGTTATCTAGTATAATAAACAGATATGAAACACGCCACTTGCATTAGTGCAGTGGTTCATGTCCTTCATCTCACTGTAAACCAAATACATTTCCATCAACTACAACAAAAACTGGGGAAATGTCTCACATACTTTCAAGAACATGACCTGCATGTTTCCTTTCACTTTTTTTTACCATGCAAAGGAAATATTCAAGGTAAACTTTGCCCTAAAACTTCACGTTTCACATACAAAATAATCCAGGCTTTCCCACTAAGCCTTGACTAATTTCAAGACTTTCATGACTTTGCAAGGATAGCTCGGATACAGGAGTAAAGGATGCAAATAAATATCACGCAACCAACGATTAGACACAACAGCTAAAGTTTTGAGTGGTTTATTGTAATAATGATTACAGAGAAGCAGTCGTCCGGTTAGCAAGAAGATATCATACAACCAACAAATCGAAACAACAGCTCAAGTTTCAATTTGTCATGCACACAAAAATTCCAGAAAAGCAGTAGTCCGTGTATAAAATATTCAATAAATACCTGTATCATGAATAAATGGTTTCATTTTGCGTCAGGAGGCTGCTAGATCCTTTGAGTCAGCGCTAACAGACCTGTAGTAAACACTGTTGCTACTGCTGGCTACAGTAGCTAGGCAACTGTCAACGTTGACAAAACCTTAAATTAACTTTTTAATTGGTTAATCAATCCTTTTCTCATATCTGTTTCCAGATCATGTTAAATGATTAAGTACTTTGCTTGGAATTGTTCTTATATAAAGCTTGGCTAATAGACATTTAATAAACACAAAAATTGTGTTTTAAATTTTTTTTTTTTTGATTATTTATAAAAAAGAATACAAAAGGTGCAAGGTGACTTCCTTGTTCTAACGGTGTTTAATTAAAGGAACGGTTTTCCGTGCTGGTAATTACCGTCAGCAAGAAGAAGGTGACCAGTCCCCCTGAGGTTGTTGCTGATTGCCATCATAATAACACATGTCCTCCTCTGCCTTTCTAGCAAATCATGCGTACAGCAAGCAAGCACAACCTGGGCCTGGACATCAGGACGGCCGCCTACGTCAACGCCATCGAGAAGGTCTTCAAAGTCTACAACGAGGCAGGGCTTACCTTCACATAAATGGCCAATTCCGACCCTCAATTCCTCTCCCTGCCCTTACCCTCCTGATATTGATCGCCCTCTCCTGCCTTCTTCCACCCTCTAAACAGCCTTCAGAACATATCATTGTTTACTGCTGCTTTTTGGCTCTTCTACACACACGCGGACACACACACCACGAGACACTGGCTAGCCTGCTATATACCTTGTGATCTTTGTGCTGCCATTATACTGTATCTGCATCTCTGTTCAAACATTGCCCTGTTCTGTTTTTTTGCCTGAGTTTATATTAAGAAAAAACAGAGAGAGAGAAAGTGAAATGCTGATCCTCCCTCTGCCCCCATATATAAACGATGATATTGTTGTATGGCAGCCATGTTCAGAGCGCCCATTTTGTGATGGCTGAGTGTAGGTGTGACCCTCAGGTGACAGCACTACAGATGCCTTATTTCAGAGAGTTCGGCCCCTTAAAGTTAATTTCAATTATAAGGGATATACATTTAACTTAATATGAATAAAATAATAATTGTATTACTCTAGGTTTGTTGTCTCACTCTTCAGGTGTAAAGATTAGTAGTCAAGTTGCCAAGATTAAGATTCCCAACAAGATTTTTTGTTATTTCATAGTTGGTGTTTTTACTGTTCGAGATTTGACAGATGCTCATCTCCCCTTTTTTCCTGTTCTCTCGTTGCTTTGTCTCGTATTAAAAGCCGCTTCTTCCCGACTCCTCCACTAGCCTGGACAGGGGAGCAGGGAGGGCGAGGTGTTGCTGTGAGCGCCCACCCCCTGGTTGAATTCTCCTCAGTTTTAGCTGTCCAGGTCCTTGACAATGAAATTATTTTGGAGGAAATGACTTTATATTTTTGTTTTATTCATTTTTTTGGAAACCAATAAAATGTTCAGACAAAGACATTGTGTTGCATCAATTTATTTCCCATAGGCCTACTATACTGCCATAAGCCGGGTGGATTGGAGAAGACATTAAAGGGGTGTGTGATTGAAAAGATCCTGCAAGAGACAAATGTAACATTTGTGATATTGGGCTATATAAATAAACTGAGTGAGTAACACCATCACTTTGTCGTGAATCCAAGATGGCAGCACGATTGTCCGCTGTGCTTTCGGCCCAATCCCAAACCACTCCCTCGACCCTACCCCTCCGTGACGGAGTGAACTATCTATGGAATATCTATGGAGAGACCTACAGTCTATGGTTCGGAGGCAGCAGGTCCCGCCTCGGCTCCGCCTCTTTGCCCTTATTTGGAGCAGGCGGGATTAGACTCTGACGTCACAGTCGAGCCGTTAGTGGCCGACGCCGCCTACTAAGGGCTTCACGGCGACTCTGCAGAATCCTATGGGTGACGTCACGGACACTACGTCCATTTATATATACAGTCTATGGGAGAGACCGGTCTCAAGTCAACACCGCTGCAGACTCGCTGTTTGAGGGCTTGATAGCCCACTCCCCCTCCACACCGCTCCACACTCGTTGGTTTGGAACAGCCCTTAATATGGCGGACCCTCCGCGTGAACGTGCAAACGGAGGGGTGGAGGGGTAGGGTGTAGGGGGCGGTTTGGGAATGGGCCTTCATGTCTGTTCTAGGCCCAATCCCAAACCACTCCATCGACCCTACCCCTCCGTGATTCAGGCCCAATCCCAAACCACTCCCGACCCTACCCCTCCGTGATGGAGTGAACTCCGTCTGTAGCCACACTCGCAGCTCAACGAGGCTCCCTCCTGTCAGATGGAGGGAGTACATACAGCAGCAAGCTTTGGGACGGCCTCCCCTCTCTCCGGCAGAAACAGGAAATGCCGTAACTATATGTAACAACGGTTTCAGATCAGCATCTCTTAGACAAAAAGTTTAAATTAATAACTCAAATACAACTCCAAACATCTTTCATTGTGTTTCAAAGCTCTTTTAGTTTTAAACCTGATGTTTATAAGCTTCTTAGTTTTTGCAACGGTCTGTAAATATACACAACTTTATAATAAAATGCACACATTTACCTTTTTCTAGACTAAACACAGGTATTATCCTCAGTTAAAAACACATGAGGTTATCATGAGGCTGTTAACATCGGAATTTATCAGTGGATGTTTGCTGGAACTACTTGTAAACAGCGTGTTTCCTGACGGACACACACAGCGTGACTCCGGTCAGGTAGAGACAGGTGTCAGTATGGTCAGCATCAGGGTCGGCGTCATGGGGGGTCATTCGCGGGCCATGCCCCCCCAAATGAGTCACTGTGCCCCCCCAACGCAGGGTGGGCAAGCCTTACCACTTTGCCGTTTTTTTTGTTTTTTGTGAAAACGTTTCCACTAAAGGTTGTTTGTGTGAAATACTTCAGAAATAAAGAATACAAATATAAAACACAGCCTGAGGTGTGCTCACTGCTGCTCTCTGATTGGTGTGTTGCTTGACCAATGACCCCCGACTTTTGTTTTGTTATCATTACGTGGCTGTGTGTTTAGATGAAAGCCCAGTGGCGATCTGTTAAACTGATTATACAGTAAAGCCATCGAAAATAATATGATATACAGTACAGTACAAGTAGCCTACTTCTGGGTCTCTGTGTTTCATTCAAGCTCGGCTCTGTGTGTGTGGCACGAACGCATTTTGTGAGTGCGCGAGCGGTAACGTGGAATGTTGTTGTTCACATCTGGTTAGCTAGCTATGCTAACGGATATAAAGAGCTGTTTCTACACCAAGGTGGAGGAGAGTCCTCTCCTGTCAGACTGAGAAGATCGTATAACCTCAGCCACAGGTAAGGACTCTCTCAGTGTTTAGATAGTTCACTTTAGTGTAAGTTATCTCAGTGGGTCTCAAACGGTTTGGTCACCATTTATGTAAACAAGTATTTGCGAGGAACACCTTTATATGATCATTATAGTTATTAAAAAAAATAAGAGAATAAATGAAAAACGGGTATGAAATACTATAGGACATTAACACAAGAATACAGTTTAAAGGGGAGTGATTAGTAAAATATCCATAAAGAAAAAGTAAATCTGTTTACAGTTCTGTTTCATATGGGTGCTGCTGAGAGATGTAGGCTATCCATAGATCTCTTCATTTTGCTCTCAAAGTGCACCAGATTGATGCATTTAACTTCAATATTTTAAAAATAATCTTCCCGGGGGGGAGCATGCCCCCCAGACCCTCCTAGAGCAGGTTAGATCCACCCCCACCTAAAACATGTTCACATGGATAGGATACTAAATACATTTGCACACTTTTTATATGGTGGCCTATGTCCATATGTTTCTGTTTTGGTGGTCGTGCCGCACCGTGCATGTATGCACAAGTTGTTAGGGAAATAATTGTCCTAGACTCCTAGATATGACGTGCATGACCAACCCTGACGTCTGTTATCCTCCTTTAAGGAGATAGGCTGCTTCAGCCATGATGTTGTTGTTCCCAATTCTATGACCGGGCAACCCTAGGTCACAGATGGTTTATTGTTGTGGGTACACTGGGACACTTCCTTCTCTGTGTTGTGGACTCTAAGGTGTGAAATCTTCGAGGCCATAAGTGTCAGAACGCAAGTCACTCAGTGTTCCCAACTGTTTAGGCTATCTTCTCAAATATGTTGATTACTCTCTGTGAAAACCAGTTAAATGGGCTAACGAGAGAGAGGCGCTCCAGAATTGACGTGGCAACTCTACCATGCAGTCAGATCGTGGCTGCCTGTGACTTGTGATGTGAATCCTCCGGCCGAAGCTCCAAATAAACCATCAGTGTTTGACATCAAAGCTCCTGCTCTTCCCGTGTCTCCTTCATGAGTCGGTGACTCCCACTGCATTGCTACACAGAAGTTTCCCCCACACAAGTCATGGTGCGCTATAAAATAGCACAACACCCCTGCAATGTGTGTGAAAGACAATAGACTTTACAGCCATGTTTTTTAAAATTGAAGTTGCGTTGGTGTTTGTGTGTTGGTTGTTGACGGCAGTGTGTGCCCCCCTTGGTAATGATTGCCCCCCGCCCCCCCATTCGATTGGTTCTAGAGCCGACCCTGGTCAGCATAGATATATATATAAACACTAGATGGCTCATGGGAGATTTTCCAGCGTAGCTGTGGCCGCCATCTTGCTACAGTCAACAATTACTCTGATTCGCGTTATGGTAGCTGTTGTAAGGTGAGTGATCTGCACAAAAATACTCTTAACTCGCTGAAATCTTGACTGATTTAACAAACGTTTGGTTTATTATAAACATTATTAGCATGGCTATGAATACAGGATGCTTGGACATGTTGAAATTGCAGCTTTTCTTTGTGTATGTGCGTGGTTGTATTTAATAGCTGGCTAATAGCTGGCCAGGCCCTCCCATTTGACATTCTTGCCCTCCCCACAATAAACACGATTTTATTATTTATAAAAAAAATTAAAAAAATGTTTTTATTTTTTTGTTATAAATAAACTGTGAACTTTTATGCCTACGATGTATGTGATGTCAGATAATAACAACAACAAAAATCGCAGGCTACGTCTGTTGTGATTTGTGATTCGTCCACATTTAGACCAATCACAGCGTCACACTCTGCCGCTATTCTGGATTTGTTATTGGCATTCAGTAGACTCCCCATTTCTTTTTGAAATTACAAAATGGACATCAGAATTGGCCTCAAAAGGTCTAAGGATTTATTCAAACGAAATAGCGATGAAGAGCTGCAAGCCAGGGGCGGACTGGGACTAAAATTCAGACCTGGAAACTGACCCAGTCCGGCCACATGAAATATCAAATGTTAGAAATTCGCTGTTTATTATTTAAAGTTTTACGTCCGATTCGCTCCTTTTTTCCTCTCTGTACACAGCTCCAGTTTGGGCATTGGCCTGTCATCAGATTTCATTTTTAGTTGCTGCTGTAGCAGAAGTTTAGTACAATTATTTTTTGGATGAAATTCTCCACCCTCCATAATTGCAATTGCTTCAGTTGCTTACTACTTTTTAAGGGTGGTGATGACAGTTACAGTACGAACTGAAGTTGATGCGATTTGATTGGATTGTGAGGCATGAGTGAGCCTCATCTGATTGGTCAATCCCTCAATTTCTTTTCAACAAGGGAAGCCAATTTTGGCTAGCCTCCTCTCGCAACAGAGAGTGCAATACTGGTTTCATCATCATAACATCTAGAGGGGCGCTGTTTCACTCTTTGTAAAAATACTCAATGAGAATGGGGGGAGAGACTGGGCCGGCAGAATAATTACCGAAACTAAACAAAGTGTTTTATTTATTTATTAAAATTATAACTACAATCCAAAAAAACAGGGGAAGCCTGGCTCCCTTGGCCTCCAGGAGAAAACGCCACTGAGTTCAAGGGATAATTCTCACCCACCTCTTGCTCTTTGCTCCTGCACTTGTATGTGCCAGTTGAGATGGTTCTTCCACCAGCTCAACTCTCTGTCCCTCATCATGAACGCAGGGAGGCTGGCTGTATATCTGAACTCCCTCCCTCATCATTCTCTTCATCATCTTGCACTTGTTCTAAGCTGCTGCTGCTTGTAGCAGCGCTGCTGCCAAAAAGGTCAGTCAATTTATATATATGCTTCACCTGCGAGTGACTTCACCTTTTTGTCTCTTGCCTTCTCGGCCCCACCTTTCTCTTTTTGTTGTCTCTGATTTGTATCCATGTTTTTTCATTCTCCCTGTCTGCCGCGGCGTCTAATCCCTTCGCCTCGTGTGGCCGGTCTTTTTTCTTCTTCGTGTGTGATTATTTGACAGATAAGAACCACACAACTGCATTAGCGCCCTCTGTCGGCCGTCAGTGCAATTTAAATGATGACGTTAAACTATTTTTTTTTTTTTAAAGGGCCGGCCGGCCGTCAACGGACCTTGACGGCCGGCCGTTCTGTGGTTCTCCAGATTCTACAGATGGCCAGTCCGCCCCTGGCTGCAGCCGATGCAGCTGCTGGCGACCCTGCACCTGCCGTTGCAGCAGCACGCCTTAATGTCACAAGCTTGACCTCGGCGGCCGCCACCAACGCTTTCCTCCGAGGCACAGCTCCTTGTGCCCCTACCATCACCACCTGCGTTGCCACCCTGTACCACACCCGCCAGCATCCTCCTCCTGCTCCAGGGTCGGCGTCATGGGGGGTCATTCGCGGGCCATGCCCCCCCAAATGAGTCACTGTGCCCCCCCAACGCAGGGTTGGCAAGCCTTGCCACTTTGCCGTTTTTTCTTTTTTTATTCATATGAGTGAAAACGTTTCCACTAAAGGTTTTTTGTGTGAAATACATCAGAAATAAAGAATACAAATATAAAACACAGCCTGAGGTGTGCTCACTGCTGCTCTTTGATTGGTGTGTTGCTTGACCAATGACCCCCGACCTTTTTTTTGTTATCATTAGGCCTACGTGGCTGTGTGTTTAGATGAAAGCCCAGTGGCGATCTGTTCATCTGTTATACTGATTATACAGTAAATAGTAAAGCCATCGAAAATAATATGATATACAGTACAGTACAAGTACATGGGTCTTTGTGTTTCATTCAAGCTCGGCTCTGTGTGTGTGTGGCACGAGCGCATTTTGTGAGTGCGCGAGCGGGTAACGTGGAATGTTGTTAGCATCTGGTTAGCTAGCTATGCTAACGGATATAAAGAGCTGTTTCTACACCAAGGTGGAGGAGAGTCCTCTCCTGTCAGACTGAGATGATCTTATAACGTCAGCTCAGTGAGGTAAGGACTCTCTCAGTGTTTAGATAGTTCACTTTAGTGTAAGTTATCTCAGTGGGGTCTCAAACGGTTTGGTCACCATTTATGTAAACAAGTATTTGCGAGGAATCACCTTTATATGATCATTATAGTTATTAAAAAAATAAGAGAATAAAGGAAAAACGGGTATGAAATACTATAGGACAGTACACACAAGAATAGAGTTTAAAAGGGGAGTGATTAGTAAAGAAAAAGTACATCTGTTTACAGTTCTGTTTCATATGGATGCTGAGAGATGTAGGCTATCCATAGATCTGTTCATTTTGATCAAGTATTTTCGAGGAATACCTGTATATGATCATTATAGTTATTAAAGAGAGAATAAATGAAAAACGGGTATGAAATACTATAGGACAGTAACACAAGAATACAGTTTAAAGGGGGAGTGATTAGTAAAATATCCATAAAGAAAAAGTAAATCTGTGTACTGTTCTGTTTCATATGGATGCTGAGAGATGTAGGCTATCCATAGATCTCTTCATTTTGCTCTCAAAGTGCACCAGATTGATGCATTTAACTTCAATATTTAAAAAATAATCTTCCCGGGGCAGCATGCCCCCAGACCCTCCTAGAGGAGGTTAGGTCCACCCCCACCTAAAACATGTTCACATGGATAGGATACTAAATACATTTGCACACTTTTTATATGGTGGCCTATGTCCATATCAAATCAAATCAAGTTTTATTTATATAGCACATTTTCAACGATTTTTGGTCGAGCCCAAAGTGCTGTACATATAATAAAAAAATAACCTACAGTAAAGACACTTTACAGCAAATACAACAGCAACAGTTTGTGCAGAATATCAGTATGAGAAAACGACACCCTCTGTCCTTATATGTTTCTGTTTTGGTGGTCGTGCCACAACCGTGCATGTATGCACAAGTCATAGGTGCGCTTTACAATAGCACTACACCCCTGCAATGTGTGTGAAAGACAATAGACTTTACAGCATGTTTTTTTAAGTTGCGTTGGTGTTTGGTGTGTTGGTTGTTGACGGCAGTGTGTGCCCCCCCTTGGTAAATGATTGCCCCCCTCATTCGATTTGTTCTAGAGCCGACCCTGTCCTGCTCCGTGCCGGTGCCTCCACTACAGACGCTACCTTGCAGCACATCAACAGGTACTATTGGGCCAGCAACCGCTCAAAGACCAACAGCCCCAGATGATCTTGGGGTTAATAAACCAACAGGTGAAACTGGATCGTTATCCAGGGAGATTGTTTTCAGGAAAGAAGCGCATGGTACAACAACAGACCATGGCTTGAAGATTCGTTAAAAGCAGACGCAGCCTTTTGTTTCCCCTGTAGACAGTTTAAAGTCAATACATCTTCATCTGATGCGGCTTTTACTGTCAAAGGTTTTTGCGACTGGAAACACTCATTAAAGACTGATAAAGGACTGCTAAGGCATGCCGCATCAAAAGAACACATTTCATTTGAGAGTGTGTGGAAAGAGAGAGAGAGAGATAAGCGAGGAAACAAATAAGGAAATGAGTACTTTGGTGCAGATCAGCTGGGCACGGAGCCGTTATTACGTGTCAGCTGTCGTTGATATTATAGCTTTTTTAGCTGTCAACCAACTCCCTCTCAGAGGTGACCACGGTTCACTCCACAGCATGTCCGAGTCAGGCAGTGGGCTCTTCCTATTGCTGTTTGAGTATATGCTGCAGTACAAAGATGCAGAGTTGGCCAAAATAATGGAAATAATTCCCCACACAGCAACACCTCTCACGACATGCACAATGCCATAATAGAGCTAACAGCAGTTCATCGTCTCCGTCTATTTCTCTCCGAGTGCAGCGATGAGGAAGCTGCCATCCTTAACTAGTGTGCCTGCTCGTGATTGACCAGTGTCTGTGCTGCCACGCACACAATGTTTCAAAAGTGGTTTCTATGTTGCCCTTTATTTGTGTATGTATTTGCGATAAGTGTGCGTCTTTGCGCAATGCTGTTGGCCTTGCTGTTTGATATATATATTGTGCCGCAGGCCCGCAGCACGTGACGGTGTTGTGCCCCTCCCATGAAAATCATATGCCCTCCTTTAGACTTGTTCTGGCGCCGGGTCTGCCTACAGTAGTATTACAAAGTTCACCCAGCAACTTTACCACCAGTGGGAGAGGCAGAACTGCTCTTTTCTTTTCAACATAACTTAAGTTACACATGATTTCTTCCAAGTGGTTTGGCTTGTTAAAAACATCTTGTATTATGATACAGGAATTTGCTGGCTTTGTGTTTACAGAAGTACCTGACTATGCCGGACTTTTGTGCAGCCTACGGATGCTCCAATCGCCGCTGTCTGCAAACAAGAACCCGTGGGATCACCACATATGTTTATGTTTGCTCAGTCTAATAAACCCATAACATGGTTGTGAAAGAATACCAAAGCTGAGGCTGGACGATGATTGATTGTTGTTGTGCCATGTGTCCACCGTGTGTCTTATTGGTTTTGTGTTATACTGTATTTTATTGTGTGCAGCTGGTCCTTATCTCCAAGACACATTTAAAACAAATAACCTTGAACCTTGAAGCCCCATCTCTCCCCACCTGCTCCTGCTTCCTACATCCCCTCCACACCACACCAAGTTGTTCTTCTTAATAATAATAATACATTTATGTTGGG